CTGATGCAATGGCTGAAACTGTGGATAATCAGCTTAGTTCCATGCTCCGATGAGGAATAGGCCAAGCTTAGGCTGGAGGACAGCCACCACTGAGAACATACTGTACATAATAAATAAAGACATAAAATAACCATGGCTCTGGGCTGTCTCTTCCTATGGCTGAGGCTTGGCTTTGGCCATAGCTGATGCAATGGATGAGGCTGTGAATAATCAGATTAGTTCCATGCTCAGACGAGGAATAGGCCAAGCTTAGGCCGGAGGACAGCCACCACTGAGACCATACATATTAAATAAATACATAAAATATCCATGGCTCTGCGCTGCCGCTTCCCATGGCTGAGGCTTGGCTTTGGCCGTATCTGATGCAATGGCTGAAACTGTGGATAATCAGCTCAGTTCCATGCTCAGACGAGGAATAGGCCAAGCTTAGGCCAGAGGACAGCCACCACTGAGAACATACATAATAAATAAAGATATAAAATAACCATGGCTCTGGGCTGTCTCTTCCGATGGCTGAGGCTTGGCTTTGGCCCTAGCTGATGCAATGGCTGAGGCTGTGGATAATCATCTTAGTTCTATGCTCAGACGAGCATTAGGCCAAGCTTACGTCGGAGGTTAGCCACTACTGAGACCATACTTAATAAACAAATACATAAAGTATCCATGGCTCTGGTTCTGCCGCTTCCAATGGGTGAGGCTTGGCTTTGGCCGTATCTGATGCAATGGCTGAGGTTGTGGATAATCAGCTTAGTTCCATGCTCAGGCGAGGATTAGGCCAAGCTTAGGCCGGAGGACAGCCACCACTGAGACCATACATAATAAATAAATACATAAAATACCCATGGCTCTGGACTGTCACTTCCGATGGCTGAGGCTTGGCTTTGGCCGTAGCTGATGCAATGGCTGAGGCTGTGGATAATCAGCTTAGTTCCATGCTCAGACCAGGATTAGGCCAAGCTGAGGCCAGTGGACATCCATCACTGAGACCACAACAAAAGAGACTCTTGGCTATTACTTTGCTAAACTAGGAAGGAGAGGTTACTAGCACATCACTTCCATCAGATGTCTTACCACGCCTGTCCCTGACTAATCCTACAGATTGTTGAGCTTCTCAGGCAGTCTTACTACTCTGTCCCATCTAATGTGATACAGTTTACTTGTTTAGACCGCCGCACACTGGGCTACCTTTTTTGGGTATAAAAGGAGGCTCTGGAAAGGCTGCTGTTGTCTGTAGCTCCTCAAGGGCTGCTTCACACCAGGACTCATCATCATGGCAATTGTGCCGTTTCTGATTGGCGGTTTTAGTGGCGCTGCGGAGATGTTGTATGTTGCGTCGAAATAGCTTGGCTTTTTCCCCCCACAATGTTGGATCGTGGGGAACTGTGCTGCTGAGTGATGAGTGTAGGGGTCCATCTCTTGTTGTTAAGATACGATGCCATCCTGAACTCATCTCCAGGTCATCATTTTTCTGAATTAGGCTGAAAAAATGTGACATTTGTCGTGACAGGAAGGCAAACCCATGCTGCTTCTTTGGGCTGAGCCCAATCGGGCTACAGGGGCAGAGACCCAGTCACCTGCTGCTCACTAGCGAGCCCCTTCCCCAGGCCTGGCTCAAGGGTTGGGCCCTGTAACCCACGTCCGTGCAAGGGACACGAGTTCCTTGATTTGTGCTGTTCATCAAAAGTTTTCTGAATTGCTCTTTTTCTGGCCTGTCAACTAGGACCAATCTGCCTTAGGAATCCCTAACAGACAGTGTAGGTTCTAGGATCATTCAGGCACACAAACTCCTCCACAACGATAAGGTGGCGATTCAAGGAGGAGAAGTTTTTTTTTTGAGATTTTTTTTATTTTTTTAAGAAAAATGTAAGTTACACATATCCATGGCTTCCGATGGCTGAGGCTTGTCTTTTGCTGTAGCTGATACAATAACTGAAGATGTGCATAATCAGCTTTGTTCCAAGTTTAGACAAGGATTAGGCCAAGCTTAGGCCAGTAGACAGCCACCAATGAGACAGTACATAATAAATAAAGACATAAAATATCCATGGCTTTGGGCTGTCTCTTCCAATGGCTGAGGCTTGGCTTTGGCCATAGCTGATGCAATGGCTGAGGCTGTGGATAATCAGCTTAGTTCCATGCTCAGATGAGGATTAGGCCAAGCTTAGGCCGGAGGACAGCCACCACTGAGAACA